CGGTACTACGACCACTTTAGTTACCGGAGCAGGTGTCGTCTCGCATTCTGGACTTGGTGTCACATCCACTTCCGGAATACGTTGAAGTGCGGAATCAAGACTTCGATTTCTGTGATGGTGCGTCAGCGTGGTCGCGCTTGCCTGTGGGACTGGCGGTAACAAAATACCCATTGATCTGCAAACACGCAATACGAAGAAATAAATTTTGAATAACTATCGGCCGATCTAATTTTATAACTTAAACCGATTAAAATTTATAGCGATATAAATTGCTTTTTGCATTCGTCACATCATAACACAAAATATATATATAAGATGTTATAAAAATAATTCAAATGCAAAATTTAACATTAATGTGAAAATTTTTTTTAAAATAAATTATTTATTTATATAAAAATTAATTTCTCTAATTTTAATTAATATTTATCTTATTGATATTACATATCATAATTCTATTTTTTTTAAGAGATTAATAATTTGAAATTTAGATTTGCTTTATTTTTTTATTTTCTTATATATATATATATAGGATACATTTCAAACATTTTTATAAATAATTCGAGAATGAACTATGTTGCAGATAATTAGAATCTAAAAAATCATATTATCACTAACTATAAATATTCTCCGGAAATATTTACACGATAGCTTCATTTACATACCTAAAATCCAAACTGTGATTTCGTTGATGCGTGGTCAGCCTATTACGGCTGTTAATCGGTGGATTTGAACGTCCGTGTACGAGAGGAACATTACAGTTTGTTAATTTATGTCTTTTGATGTGTACCACGCTTTCCTGGCGTGTTGTTGATCCACCACTAGGTGTTACAGCCACTACTTCACTCATATTAAAATTGAACGAGCATCAGCTCGGCTAACAGTCATCTGCTGCTCATGTTGATCATCCACCTATGACAAAAAAATGATACGATCCAATTGTTTAAGCGGATTGTTGAAAAGAAAATGTATATATTAATAAATATTATATTAAAACTATAACTTACGCATAATTTAAATAAAGCATAAATTCTTTTTGATTTGCAAATAAATCATGATCAAAAATTACATATTATTTTTTAGTTGTATTATTTAATGATAATAAATCAAAATTATGTTAATATGCAAAACATTCTCGTATAGATGTGTGATTATAAAATCATATTATTAAGACGAATTTAAAATTGAATTTTACAATACCATCAGTATCATCCAAATTATGATAAAGAAATTCATATCTTAGAGCTTTAAATGGATGAATAATGAATAATGTATCAGATATCATATACATAAATACTTATATACATATACATAATAATGAAAGAATTTATTATATATAAAATAAACAAGTAATAAAGGAAAAAAAAAATAAAAGAATATAAATGCTTCCATAAAATATCAATCGTACCAATTTATAATTATCTTACGATTGTATTCTTACGATTGTATATTTAATTATCTGTTAAAACTTTAATCATAATGATAAAATTGTATAACTCAAATGCATATATATATATATATATATATATATATAATGTATTTATCTTGATATTTAAAAAATCGCGACTTATTTATTATCTCAGTTATAAATAAAAATTTAAAAGTTTAAATCAAATTTATTCAAATCATACTTATAAATTATCGAAACAATCTAATTGTATCTTATGGCGAAATTCGAATGATAAACATATATTTCCGATGATTTCATAAAAAAAAAATAAATTTGAAATTTCTTAAAAAAAAAAGAAGAATCATCTTTTAGAAATGCACAACAATGATTAACCACGCAAGGCGGCACCGTGACAGGAGCGTGAAACTCGTGCTAGGTACGAGAAAGTCGAATACCAGTTGGAACAAAGCGTATGTCAGAATTTTGTTTTCTACTCCACGACACATTTTCATGTATATATTTCTATGAATTTTTTTATTATATATTTTTTTTCTTTTTTTTCTGATTTTGAAGAAACGAAAATATTTTTTTTAATAAAAAAAAGAAATGAAAAGAGGATAAATTTAAAAATCATTTTCTATGCAAGAATTTTGCATTATCATAATTGAAATCATATAAAAGCGTGTTTCTTTCCCGCAAGATTAATCAACAGAGCAATAGAGTGAAATCTCTGGGAGAGAAATAATTCAATAAGGAGGAAAATGGAACGAAGTCTAAGTTGCGGTATGCCGGCTTTTTACTCTCCCTCTTTTACTCAGGGACTCGTCCTTCCGTTTGGTTCATATTCACACGCTGGCCAACGCAGTAACGCAGCGATGGGTGTGCCAGAAGTATAGAAACTAAACATTATTTGTTCACTGACAGTCAATGAATCCACACCCCATAAATATTATATTTTTCCTTTATTTGTACTTCTATCCGATTCAATCAATCAAATATAATAAATCTTCTTTATATTGAAAATATCAAAACGAAAAATAAATAGAGAATGTCAATATAACTTACTTTGTACTTAAATTCGGAATTCTGTTGCAATTGAATCTGCACCATGCGTGGACGTCTTCAATTTTGTCTGTTAGCACGTATACGAGTACGATTGAACAATATACGGTACAAGAAGCTAGTAGAGAAAAAGATAGGAGAGAGAGAGAGAGAGAGAGAGAGAGAGAGAGAGAGAAAGGATGATGATGATGCAGCGAACCCCGCGAGTACACAAAATACCACTAGGTGCGAAAAAGACAACAAGATATCCTTTCCAATGGCAGACTCAGACTGTCACGCACCGCCTTGTCGTCATTCGTTTTCAGTCGATTTTGCACAATGCCTGGCTACGCCCTATATGTTCAAGTACAGAATTACACTTCATCACTTTCGTTCTTATTCCACCGAATTATAACGAGCATACAGATAAAAATGTACGCGGTTTTTTCGATTCGAAATTGTAACTAAAAACATGCACGAACCGAATCTCCGTGCCAACGCAAAAGGCGACCTCGCCAAGCTCGACTACTTTTCGCACGACGCACTGAATACTACTCTGCACATTACTGCCAACAGAAGAAACGTAAAGTTCGAACAGCTATTAAACAGTAACGTCTTATGTTACAAGAGAACCATGTACTTAATAACAAATGTAAAAAAATTTGATTATAAATTAATAATGATATATTCAAAATTTAATTTGATCTAAAATTATTGTGTTCTATTGAACTTAATGATTTTAATATTAATATTTCTTCAAAAATTTTATTAAATTAATTTGTTACTATATAAATTATACAAATTAATACAAATTAAAAAATTAATTTTTTACTATATAAAAGTTATTATAGAAAATAAAATAAAAATTTTTTCAGATATGAATTAATTATAAATATTTCAAATTTTAAACTAAAATCGTAATCGTTTTAAATTTTGAATAAATATAAATTAAAGTAATCAAAAAGTTTTGAAGTTCCGGAACTATTCATCTCTGAACGCACGTGTCATATACATATGCAAGTATGATGAATATATACTAGGTAAGTATATATATTTTGATACAGTCAGACTGATGATATCAGTATGTTTCTATTTACATCACACACTTGTAGTTATGATAATAATATGATGTGTTATCAGTAAAAAAAGAAATTAAGATAATAGACAAATGCAAATTGATATGGCAATAAACATATTTATATATTATATAAAATTATTTTGTATCTTTATCAAAAATTAGTTATCTAATTATCTATCTTCCTAATAATTCGAAATAAATTTTATTAATATATAATAAATTAATATTAATTGTATTTCACATAGGATTTAATGAACAACTAGATTTAAGTTGGCAATGGTTACTTGACAGCTAGAATAGGAAAGGTCGTACAACCGTAAGTGCAGCTTCCGGCATTGAAATCATTAGGAATTTATGCTCGAGATGTATCTGTAAACGTAAACAATTATTAAATCTTTTATTTGAGTTACTTATAGATTGTTTTTTACGCGAACAATAATTAAGGTATGAAAACTAAGTGTATATATATATATATATATATATATATATATATAGGCAATAATTATTTAATTATTATTATTTGTTTATTAATTTTTGTTGTTTATAGAACATGTTCGTGTTAAATGTAAATAATATCATATGAACAAAGTAAATAATATTTGATAATTTCATATTGTTTGTATATATTTATTTTAAATAAAATAGTTATTTTTTTTTTGAAAACTTTTTTAACAAAAAATCAATGTATATAATTTTCAATTTTGAAACATTATAAACTTCATACAATCGTAAACATCATAAATGATATAAATTTTTTATTACAAGTATAAAATATTTATAATATTTACAACAATCTTTGCAATGAAGCGAATATCTGCGAATCTTTAGAGTAAAAGTGAATAGTTAATGCTTCCTGTAATTTTATACGCTTTCTAATCATACATAAAAGTGAAGAGAATACATAGACCTATCATCGATTGTTTGACAATCGTCAAATTATTCTATATATGTATGATGATTTCACTTTTCATTAAATATCATTCATTCAATTTTCCATTATTTATTATTTATAATTTATAATTAAGTAATAAATCATATTTATTTTTATTAGCTATTGCATATAACACAAATAGTAACATAGATATTTTTCTTGTTTATTTTAATATAAAAAAATGAATTTCTAAATTTATTGTAATATTTATATGTATTTTAAATACGTAATATTTATAATATAAAATAAATATTACAAGAAGAAGAAACTATTACAAGAAGAGAACGAAATTCATGATTTTTATATGTTTAAAAAAGAAGAATATTCTACGAAAAACGAAAATTATTAATTATTAATATTGACAATAATCTTGTGTGAGATATTGATATTGAATCTATAAACATTACAAGAAAATTTTATCATATAATTATTTTTACAAATATTTCTTTATTTTTTCGCATTATTCGCATATATATTATCATTCACAATTTGAATCTTAATTACAAAATTTAAAATCTATTTAAAACAATGATTATTTTATGAAATGTCTATTCCATAAAACAGTCAATCAAATAAACAAGAAAATAGTTAAGCGTGCTACTGAAGCTCAGTACATTTGCACCTGTGGGTCTTCCCTGAAGAATTAGTCACTAGAAGCGGAATAATCGTTAAGTAACACGAAAGGACGTTTTGTGCGATCTCCTAATGTAAACAAAATAGCCATGCTACTACTATGTTTTGCAGTTTAGTATGTTCTTCTGATTCGCCATGTTAATTTTTGATTTGATTGTTGATAAGATATATTAACAATCAAGTAAATTTTAAAAAATTTTAAATAATTTTTAAAAAATTTTAAAAAATATATTTAAAAAAATTAACCAATTTTGATAATTATAACTTTAAAAAAAATCATTCAGCTTTTTGTTATAATTAATTAATTTTTTTATTGATTAGATTGGATGAAACATTTCTTGATCCATTGCTTGTATGTTGTGCTTGTATATTGGAAATTATTGGGAATAGGATATTCAAATGGTAACTCTGCCATGTTACAAAACAGAGACAAAGAACTTCTCTTACTCTAGCATCTCACGATGTCGACGACATTCATCCGACCAGCGTATAACGTATAGTGACCATACGGCATACGGTACGTACCCACACCCAATGATGATACACAATCACCTTTCAACAGCGGTGCTCATGATCTCAAGTTCGCGTGCTATCATTACATTTATCAATATCGTGCAAATTTTTATGCATACTATATAAACTTTTTTCAAATATAAAAAATGTTATATATATATATAATATAAAAAAACAAACAAATTTGTAAAATATAAAAAGATTTACAATCTTTTGATTTAAAGATTTTATTAGCAATAAAATTTTAATAACAATATTATAAGTATTATATTCTTAATTTTTTTATGTTTAAGTTTAAAATTATTTCTAATAACTTTCATTAATGAAATATTGAATTTCAAATAATAATGACTTTAATTTTTATTACATTTTTATTAAAGAAGTTCGAAAACATAAATAATGAAAGTTACAATTCATGAAAACGATCAATCTATATATGAACATTTTTGTTTACGAATATGTTTTATAAACATTCAGTTATCTGGAGAAATTAAATTCGAAATAACGTAAGAAATGAAAAGAACCATATGTTGCGGTGGCTCGCTGAACTTGCATATCGCGTCATGTCACCGAAACCTTGACCTTCTACTACAGTACCAATTAGATTCAAAAAATTCTCTTATTTGAAAAACTACTATCGAACTATTCGAACGAGTTTCAAAACATTTTAAGAAACATTTTCATCTTATAAATTTTATACGTATGCATATTTAGATACTGTATTACATAAAGTTTTGCATATCAGATATGATTTTTCCTTAACTTTAGATAATTGCAATATTTTCAGGAAATTCAATAATTTTTTTATTTTATTATTTTTTTTACAACTGCAAATTATAAGTGATTCATCGTTTTTTCCATTTTCTATTAGCATCGATTATGTATCGATTATACCAGCATTTTTCGTACTTATATGTATCGCAAACCTTGACGCACATTTTCTTCTTAGTTCTTATCATGAGCATTATTTCCGTATGTTATGACTATATAAATGACTTGCAAATGTATCATTTTATTTTATATTTCATTTATTTTTCTGTTCGCAGATATATATTTCTCTATACATATACTGATGCATTTGAAGATATTTTGCATACAGTTATAAATAATGATTTTCTTTTCTTATAAATAACTATAACTATAAATAACTTGCTCAAAATTCTAAAAAGTCCAATATTATATATACACTTTTCTGGATATTGTGAATAATTTGTTAAAGTTCTTTTTGTGTTGATAAGCGACATATGCTTGATCCGATATTTCACTAAGATTTCTTCTCCTTGTTCTACTTTCAGTACAGATGCTTCATCATAATAGTTTCTATTTTCGGTTGGAGGGTTGGCTACACATAGGTACAGATGTTCACTGCTAAAAGCATTTGGGGGAGAAAGTCAAATTTGATCCTACGTATTTTCAAGAGATTAATAGGCAAATCGATGAATTGAATCTAGTTTTCAATGAAAAACATGTTATATTATGTCTAAAAATTATAAAGTAAAATCATTTATAAAAATAATGAAGCATAAATTATGAATTGGAATTGACAAAAAAAAATTTGTTTTTATATATTTTATATATATTTATTTTTTATATATATTTAATATATGTATTATTAAAATTTCTCGCTAACAGTATTATAGAACGAAGATATAAATTGAAGTCGTGATGAAAATACAAAAGATATTATGAAGACATTCAACGAATAAATGAAATATAGTAGTAAGCATAGAAAAAAAAATGAATGAAATGTAGCGACGTTGGTAAAGGACGGCCTTCAAAGTGTACTCGAATACTCTGTTTGCTAACGCAATAAAAGACTCAACTATAGATACATGATAAGATTAAAGTATTATGATATTTTACACAAACACAATTGAGATGAAATTTTTCTTATACAATTTTAAATTATAATTGTTATTTATCTATCTTTCATTTAAAGTTTTAATGTGATTTAATAGATATAATTTTTATCAAATTTTATTTCAAAAATAAAGGAATATATAAAGAATATTTTATCATAT